TGTGTGTGTGTGTGTGTGTGTCTCACACTGCTGGGCCTCAGTGAGTTATTTGCTGCTGTGTGATGTGTTGTCGCCTTGTCACAGCAGCAGGTGTGTTACCTGAGTGTGATCGATCAGACCTGCAGCCACAGCTCAGTGTGATATTTTACTGTTAAACCACTGAATAGTAAAGTTGTGTGGATGGTGAAATAAAGGATTAACACCTGGACAGATCATAGATCATAACACGGGATCAAATATCACAGAACTGACTTGAAGTTTTGAAAAGGTTTTGACATAAGTAACGGATCCATAGATTAGTCGATCAGTGAAAGATTAGTGGTTCTCTGGTTTCAGCTTCTCAAGCGTCAGGACTTGTTCTGTTTGTTAATTGAATCTTTTGGGGTTTTGCAGATAAAGAAAAATCTGATGCTGTCACCTCTGACCCTGAAGCATATTGGTTCACTGATAAAATGCTCTTGAACCTGGAGCTGCTCCGTCACTCTGCTGCAGGACATATACCTCCACTGACCCTGACCTCTGACCTCTGTGAGTTTTACATAACGGTTGATATTTCATGATTCACACATCTGCTTCGAGTCTTCAAGTACATACACTGCAGAGCCAATCATGGCCTTCACGTCCATTTCCATTTGAGCCAGAGGCTGAATTTAGAATCTGTGGGTGAGCCTGGGGTTAAAGGTCGCGTGTTTAATCATGTCCGAATGATGAAATAACTCAGCCGGCAGCGCTGCTCACCTGTCACCTTGCCTTGGTGCCGGAGCAGCTTAGCATTTTTATTGAATGTTTAATTTGAGGGTGCAGGATCTCGCTGCAGCTCTGTGTTTGATGAGGCCAGATGAAGGACGGGGAGCGGCTCCCGCTAATAAAATGGTGATGATGATGGTGCGGTGACGAGCGCTCCAGACAGGGACAGACAACAGCACTGCCGACTGATGAGGTCATTAAGAGGCGAGGCTGCTGCGCTCAGAGCGAACCTAAACTCAGCGTCACTGATCCCCTCGTCATGGTTCCACAGACACAGAGCTGCTGTAAATCATTTACATAACAACTAAAGATGGAGACATGAAGCTTCAACCAAAACTAAGATAACAGCATCGACCGTGTTTCTGCACTCGGTGGTTTGAGCCTGGAGCTAAATCTGAGCAGCAGAAGTGTTTTACTGCTTCTCCCAGTGTGATGGTGCCGCTCTGGTCAAGGTTATCTGTGGCCGCCACGCAGTCATCAGCAGGGAGGGCGCTACCATCAACATGGCCCATAAAATGAATCAACGTGTTAATATACAACAGGCACCTGTAATGAGGACAACAGGGACCTGAGCATCCAGAGGCGTTTGAATATGTGCGTACTCAACTCAAGGCCAAACTAAGACAAACGCTGCCGTGGACTGAGCCCAACACTTGACTCTGATAAACACACGAGCTGCCTGCAGGCAACTTTTAATTCCTCATTAATATGACAAACGTATTATTTCTCAGCATGTTATCGTCTCTTACCACAATCAACAGTTTGTTTATGTGACTCGGAAGCTGTGGAAGAAGCAAACGCTCTGCAGCTGCAGTGAGTGTAGTGAAAGTCTTTACCTTTTACTGTCCTGGGGCGAGCTGCTGCGTCTGGGTGGACGCACTCTGGGTGGACGCACTCTGGGTGGACGTGGGACGGTCTTTGTCACTTTGATTTCACCTTCAGCCTTAAAGACACAACGGAGGGGGGGGGGGACATCTATTATCAAACTGATTTTAACAGAGCTGCTGTTTTAGGTTAAAAAACAAAGTTGCCTCATGTTGATTGAAAAGATTAAAAAGATAAAAGTACTTTGGCTCCTGAAGTTTGACGTGTGTTCTCTCAGCTTTTCAAAGTTTTGAACTGAACGTACCCGGGGCATGGTGAGGACCAGGTGTCCGGTGGTTTGGGACCTCTGAGCTGTCGAGCTGTCCGGCTTCACTTCAGCCGGCAGAACCATCTGAAATATCTGCAGAGTAAATTATTCACAACTTTAATTAGTGAGATTAATGCTCTGATCTGGAACGACGCTGTCCTGGTGTGTCAAATGACTTTAATCATTAGTGGGTCTTTTTATAGGTACGCTTTCCAGAAAGGACTCGGGAGAGTGACCAGAATAGCTCCGACTGAGAACAGTGGCAATCAGTCACAGGAATGAAATCCAGTGAAAACCAGAAGGATCAATGTGGGAGGACAAGTTCATTTTTTAATCTACTTTCATTTGATACCAAGGGGAAATTTAGGGGAAACCTCACCAACATCAGGCAGCGGGAAGGAAAAGTCTCCTGTGATATACACACAGATGACTCCTCCGTCTAGTCCCTCCACTGCTCTAAATGAGTTCATGTAAAGAAGGAATTTTAAAGGCCTGAGTTGATGTATCACTGTGTAAATCACCCCACCCGTCCAATCAGGCTGACCCCTGGCATAAAACAACCATCCATAAATACACTAACGGCTTGAAGCAGAGCCATGACATTCAGGACTCTGGCAGCGAGGGCCGAACAGCCCCGGACCTGCAGGGCTCTGGATTTATAACTGTTTCCTGGAGGGTAAAGAAGGGGTGAAACAATGACACCTCTTGGATTTATGTGAGGCCAAACAGCTGTTTAATCAGGCTTAAAGGTCGCTGTGGTCTGTTTGTGGGAGAATAAAATCCTCCACACACGAAGTGGCGGACTGGACACCTGGAGGTAAACTCTGTGGCGTCGATGTCGTGCAGACTCCCTTCACAATAAAGCACAGCCGCACCTCAGCAGGGCTGGAGAGGAAACCTGACACGTGATGAAAACAGCTTCTGCTGACACTGAGTCTTCCACCTTTTGGCAGGAAACTCATGTTGATATCTGGTTGTATTTTATTCCTGAACATCGACACTCTGGCTGGTAAATATTGGGATTTTCCAGAGAGAGAGTCTGTCTGGCCCTGGTCAGCTGCAGGTGTGGAAAATAAAAAGTCACAGCTGGGAAACGTCTCCCGAGCAGGCGTAATAAACTCCGTCCATAAATGTATCAGCGTGTCCGAGTCAGAAACAGGTTTGATGATTCAGCAGCTTCTGACAGCATTTTATCTGCTCTGAATCTGACTCTCCATCCATCACACAGCTACCAACTGAAAATGAATTCACAGCGACCTGGAACCCGATGAATCAAGAGCACACGTGAGCAGATCATCTCATCGGGAGGCAGCGCTGCGTGAAACAGGAGCGTAGTTAAAACAGTGACAACCGCACAGCGGCGTACGATTGATAAATCACAGTCCACCTGGAAATGTGCGTTCGTGGATCTCCGCCCTCTACACGCCCACATTAAACCATGAATGGTCAATTCAAAGCACCTCATGAATATTAAATTCTCCTGCTGACCGATGGGTTTCCACCGTGAGTCATGACATCGAGTGATGAGAAGAAGAAGAAACCCTCTGACTCTGACATGGAGGCGTTTGGCTAATCATCCTGCAGAGGGGTGCACACTGGCGTTTGGACTGGGATGTTCTGGTTCCGTTGGGTCGGTCTGTGTAATACTGGACTCAGCTCAGCACAAGAATCCAGATCGACGCTCAATAGAATCTAAATCAGATAATGATTCATCGCTGAATACTCGACTCCTAATAATCCTTCTACATGTGTACATCCATCACGCAGCATTACGAGTGGCATCGCAGTATTTATGTTTACAACAGTCGGACTGATTACTTCACACATCAGTGGGATCCTGACACACACACACACACACACACACACACAGTATAAAAACTACAGTTGTACTTGGCTCAGTGTTGTAGAAGATATTCAAAACTACTCAGTTATGTGAGTTTTGTTTTTTTTACTATATTACCGAAGTTTGATTTCATGTGTCTTTTACAATCGAAGGTTCTTCTGGATCAGTTATGTCGAGCACAACAAACACTGGTGCTTTAAAGTGGATCAAAAATCTGGATTTAATTCACCTCCTCACGTCTGCATCACTTTCCAAAAGGTTTGTACGCATGAGTTAATGAGTTGTTTTACTTTAAGAACTTTACTTTAAGAAAAGAGCAAAAAGGTGAGAGAGTGAAGGAGAGTGCCTGCTGTTCACATCTCGTCCTCTTGTTTCTCTCAGCCATAAATGGGTAATGAGTGATAAATGAGCAGGAGGGTGACGGGAAGATTCCATGTTGTATAAACAGTACGTGAAGGCAGATGGTTCATCCTGCCGCTGTGACTTTGCTGAGTGTGATGTTAACACTGGGCTGTGTGCCTGCTGCCGCCTGCAGACTGGAGGAGAAGATCTCTGACTTGTCGGCTACGTCGACACCTCGCGGTGAGAAATCAGAGCTGAGTTGTACGAGTTTCACTGAATGTGACACTGTGTGTTTCTGCAGGAGTTAGAAACCAACACGACCCAAGAGAAACACGATGAAAACCCACTCATCAACAGCGTTTTTGCAAAATATATGAAATATAACATTGACATCTCCTTATTTGTGCTGGTGTACATATTATAAATATATATATTATATATATAATATTTACTTGGCAACTACTGCAGCAGTGCCCTTGAGCAAGGATTGGTAAATGACACAGCCTGCAGTGTGTGGGGGGGAAACTGAAGAAATGAAGGCCTCTCTGAAACAATCGTGGGTCGATTCTCACCACAGTGATTTCTCTTAATTTATTCTATTCTATTTGTTCTTTGATTTTTATTTACACCATCAGAAACGATTCAGCACAAACTGATATATGCTGAAATATCTTTGTCATGGAAATTAAGTCAATAAAGTTTTAAGAAGCTTCTAAATCAGTGATGAGGAAAACACAAAGATGTTCTAACTGAAAATAAAGGTCAACGTCTAATGGGACGGTGGCGTGCCGTACCTTTCCTTTGACGCTGACTCTGACGTACGTCGGCTGAACATCCACGTCCACGAGGGAGGTGTCCATGTGTCTGTGAAGGAGTGAGGGCGGAGGTCCAGGTCAGTTCATACAAAGACACGTGGACACACCTGTACTACACAAAGCATCGACTGACTCTCAATGTCCCCAACCCCAGGACTCCTAAACCCTCAGAGACTGAACTGAGGTCAGCTGGTCAGTGAGTATGAGAGGCAGCGAGGGCTTGAAATGGTAAAAACAGGAATGAGACAGCAAGTCTGCTTGTTTGGGACTTTTCATTTCAATGTGTTCACTTTCTTCACGGCCTGCTGATCTGATGCTGCAGGATCCACTTACAGTATGAACGAGAGGTTAATATAAAAACATGCTCTCAATGCAAAGATTTAAAACAAATGTCTGTTGAAGGGATATTTCTATGAAATGAGTTTGGGTCTTGTTCCTACCTGTACACCGCCAAGTCTAAGACGATAGTGTTGTTATGTTGTTCTTCAGTTAGAGAGAAATCCAGCCTGAACACAGAGCAGAAGAGTCCAGACATTAATGTTATAAATAACTACTCACTGATCTGGATCCTCACGTACAGAGCTTCAGTTCTCTGACGACCACCCTGTGAGCAGCTCAGTGGGCTCATTCGTTCACCACACCTTCTCTTCAGAGAGATTCTGTGTCGACAGGACTCGACTTCACGAGCCATCGATGAACAGTAAACAATGTGAACATCACTGATGTGTTCGGTGAAGCATGTGGTCCCGTCTCCCTGCTGATGTAATGTGACGCCTCACATGAAGGAAACTTCTGACCGGACTGTGTCCTCAGCTCAGATTACAAATGATATCAGCCTTGTTTTCAGGCCTCGACCCCCGTGGCCTTGCTCCGGCTATAAACTTTTGTTTTTGGAGGGAGCCGAGGGTGGCCGACAGCTATCACCCCCCCCCCCAAACACACACACACACACACACATGGCAGGAGCCAATCCAGCAGCAGGCTGCTAATACGACAATCACACAGCAGCTGGGAGATTGTTACTCGCCGCCTGAGCGGTTTGACCGAGCGCTGAACGAAGTAATCGAGGGTCTCAAACATAAAAAAGATTTTACAGATGTGACGGGAAATTGAAAGACTGGAAAACCAATTATGTTCCTCTCTGTTGTGTTCGCTGCTGCAGCTGAGAAAATGGATCTGCCCTCAGTCAATCATAACACAACCCAAGTCATAACCGAACCGCTGACGAGCTGTGACTGTGTTATTGAAAGAAGGCCGTGAGTTATATTTCACTTAAGAAATCACATTTATTGTAATAAGTTTGAGTATAAACTGAAAATACATAAAGAGGATAAGACAAAACCATAGACTGTAAATAAAGATGGACGACGTGACGATTGACAGCCGGGACTGACTCCCAGGGCCTGGACACCACGACTCACCACAAGCTGGCAGCGTTCGAAACCCAGACATTTTGGCTTCATATTAAACCAACATGAATATATGTGTTTGTGTGGCTGTCATGTCTGATACATGTGGTACTTCAGCAGATTTCAGCAGTAAAGTCAAACACGAGACGGACATGGTGGTAAATCTACAGAATAAAGCCTGAGTAATAAAATACACTCAAACACTTTAAACTGACTGTTTGATTGAAAACATGCGTCTGTGTTCGTACTTGGGCTCGTTGACGTTCATGACTCGTCCATCAGCAGTGATCAGGGTCCTCGAGGCCTTCGGCTGCTTCTCTATCACCCTGCAGAAAAAAATAGCGCAGTGTAAGTGTGTGTGAGTGTGTGTGTGTGTGTGTGTGTGTGAGTGTTTGAGTGGACTGACTCATGACAGCAGCTAGTTATGGGGTCTGTGGGTGAAGGAGAGAACCACCTCCCCCTCCAGGAGCATCCATAAAGACGGAGGCGACAGATGAGTGTGCGTGTGTGTTGTGGAGCCACAAACAGGAAGCTCCACCTTTGCAGCAGCTTCCAAATAAAAAACCTACATCTTCACACAAATGTTATAAATACAAGTTCGTCAAATTCGACCAAACCAAGCGAGTGTAGGTCGTAAGCCCCGCCTCCCCCATGTGAGCAGATGGGACATGGACCAAACTAAATCAAGTTTTCGGATCAGGTTGGTTTGAATCAGTTATTTGATGATGTAAGGTTGAGACGTGATGATTGACAGCTGACACTGACTCTGGCTTCGTTATTTTGGCTTCGTTTCTGGAGGTGGATTTTTACTCATAGTCTCTATGACACCAGTGTCACTGGCGCATATCAACAGATTTGAATTGTTGTGTTCTACCCGGGAGCACCTTGAGGAGGGTCCCTTGGTTGGAACCCAGCTGAATTCACCTGTCATACACTGAAACAGAACAAAATGGGGGCAACAAGAAAACGACAACAATGTTGTGTATTTATAAAGCTCCTGTTCTAACGACTCGATGCTTGTAAAGTGAAGGCGTCCACCTCTGAGGCAGAGGGTTGTACTCTCATTACCATCTGCTGTACAACCAGACACTCCATCAGCCACATGACGCCGGCCGTGACACAAACACTCACGCTGCACATACGTCCATCCATTAAACCCGCTGAGCAGCAGATGAATGAGTTGGCGGTCGAGGGGGGGTGAGTGTTGACCGCTCTGCTGGGGGTCAGGCGTCACAACCTCCGCAGCCGTACATCAGCTCAGCCGAGGACGAGCGTGACGTTGGAGCAGCCTTCAATCTGCTGAACTCAAGGAAGCTGAGTTCATGTTGTTGTCGGGGAGGTGGGCTGCAGAGAGCCCTGCGGTGAAGCGGTGGTGTGGAGCCGAGCGGTTTAAACACTCCATTACCAGCGTGGTCACAAAAACTCTGCGTGATCCTCCTTCAGCTCACACACTTCTCACATACCTCTGTCATGTCTGTTTGTCTGTTTGACAGCAGGATTCCACCGAACCTACTGAACACATTTCAGGAAGGATGGAACATGGGTCAAGACAGAACTCCTGTCCCGTTTGTGCATGTGCGTTGCGGATGAGTGGGGGTGAGGTGGAGGCCAAGTATCCACTTGATCAACGCCATCACTCTGCCTCTGCATTCAAACAACAGCTTCTCCTGCCTCCATCTCCTCCCGTGTCATATCCCTGTTGACTCGTCAAGGTCAGCGTGTGGCCCTCTGCTCTGCACAATCCTGTTCTGCTTCTGTTTTTGTTAAGGGGTGTGTGTGATGGGGCATCTATCAAACTGCTGAGTCATGAAGACATCAGTGGTGACAGCTCCACGGCTGGCTCCTGTGGTGAGGACGATGTGTTCAGACAGCGTTCAGTTAGCCCTGTTCACAGTCCAGTCAGCAGACAGGGAGAAAACAGCGTCCAGCACAGTGCAGCGTTCAACAGCTAAATCAGGAGGTGGTGGAGACCAAACAGCTAAGAGAGCAGGGACACAGGACTCCACACGAATCATCATGTTTCTGTGCAACTGCAGGATGTGGAACTTAGCAACTGATCTACAACTTCAACATATCAACTGTAAAGCTGTGCTTGGATTTACTGGCCCCTGATGAACAAAAACCAAGTGAGCAAACACATCATCTGATCACTTAAATAAAGAGATGATTCACTGCAGCTCTGCAGCTTGTTGTGTGACCATCAGAGGAGAATCTGAGCTCCTCTTCACCATCGGTAACAATAACAATAAACGACTGTGATGACAGACTGTGGATCACGTGATCAGGTGGAGCTCTAACTGTTAAAAGGTTTTTATGCGAGTTCTGGTTTGTCGTTAATCTCAACTGTGTTTTCTGTCAACAAATAGCTCAGATTAAAATCAAAGGAAATCAAGCCGGTCTCATTTAAGCAACACATCCATCTCATTCATGCATTTTCTTTAACTACATCCTTTTATCAGTTTTCCTCCACCTTAAAGCTTTGGCGGCATTTTGGAGTTCGGCCCTACGACGGCAGTTTGCGGCTACAGTTCATCCGCTGTGATTCCACCTCTCAGAGGAGCGGAGCAGCCGTTAAACACAGAACTGTCTCCTGGCTGACCTTATCACAGAATCCACCTCAGGAGCAGGAAATTCATCTTTACTGACAATCCAATGACGGCATGACTGCATGCATCAAGTCAGCGCCAACTGACAGCCGCACTGGGGAAACCATAAAAACTGCGACACCATATCACCCTGATTTTCTGCTTGGACAGCACGCAGACCGGGGATCTGCTAATAATATGGATGAGGAAGCCAACTGTCACTGAGGGGCACCGCCGCCATCACCCTGAATTTACTCAAATCAAGTTTATCCAGAGCATCACCTGACTTCTTATCAATAGAAGGGGTTTGGTTTAGGGTGAGTTGTTTCTGGTGAATTCAAAAACACCTTTTGCACAAAGAGATTCAGACGAACTGCAACAATCCTGTGCACAAAAACGACGTGGCATGATAAACGGGGTGAGAGACGAACCAGGAAGAAACATCCAGCTGCAGAAGCAAACAGCTGAGTGAAACAAACACAGCGACATCTTCAGGCGAATGAGAGCGTTTCCTGTGGGCAGGAGATTGAGCAGTGATGAGAGCATGAACACAGCAGGACACTTACACAGTGTTCGTCATATATCGCTCAGCTATTTATGACTGATGGCTGGAGGTGGATGTCTGATACAACAGAAGAATGAAAAGAGATTCTACAAATTCTACTGTTGCAGACGGTTTGATCAAGACTTTACTGAGAAGCTGATTCTTATTTATTTGATTTATATCTGATCCTCTGTGGCTTCATTTGTCCAATTCTTAAATGAATCATATGAATTCAATCAGTGGGGAACTTTGGACCATACTACTTTAATGTTTGAGTGTGTGCAAATACAAATCTGGATCTCGTGGGTTTAAATGTGGTTCATAACAAATGGAGTTAGAAACCTGAAGCTAGTGTTATAAAGGTTGAGGTAAGTGTCCTACTGAGTGACATTTCTTATGAAGGAATCTGTCTCTTTTGGTCCATGGAGACGTTGTCCTATTTTGTGCTGTGAGGACATTACGCCTCTGAGAATCCTGCTCTCGTCGTTCTTTCCTGCTGAGTGTGAGCGGCAGCAGGAAATGAGCGTTTTATCTGCAGTTGAGTAATAAAGCAGGTTTTCCACCTACATAACCACTGAACTGTGAAGCCACATGTATTTCCAGATAAGCGCGTGTTTTCCAAATCGCTGCTCTCTCCTCCGGTGGACGGACCCACAGCAGAAGTGGACATTCTGTCCAGTGGCCAGAGGGCTGATGGTTTGATAATCACACCCAGCAGGAGGTTTAATCCCCCTGTGAGGTGGAGGCTTGCTATCACTGTCAGAGTGCCCTTGGACGTAGCCGAGCTCCGGACCGACCCTGAAGTCTCAGAGGAGCTGGATGAGTGTAGGAGGCTGCATGTAGTTATTATTCTGGAGATGTATCACACGTCAGGTTTATTTGTACGCTCTTTAATCACGGTTTCAGTCACGGCCTCGCGACGCCCACATCATGCAGCGGCAGAGGAAGAGAAGATGAGAGCTCCTAAACCACAGCAGTGACAAACCGAAACTCAGCGACAACAACAACCAACAGCTAGGAACAAGAGGAAACCTGTGATATCTGCTGGCGTCTCCTCATCAGTTCACGGCTGCTCTCACAGCTGCCGGCTGAAAGCACTGGTCTGACACAGAGACGAAAAGTGTGTGTGTGTGTGTGTGTGTGTGAGTGTGTGTGTGTGTGTGTGTGTGTGTG